CAATATTTTTTTAGTTAATGTTGTGAAATATTTATTATTAGCAGTCTCTGCTTATTGTTTACAAAATAAAACAGATTGCAGAATAAAAAATAATTGACTAATGGTGTATAGCATCGTGCCTTAATTTTTGAACCATTCAAATCGGTTGATCCGAGCTCGAATGAAAAAATGCGGACACACAAAACACGCATACATACACACACATCCATTTTGTTCTGGGTATGCCAAAATGTTCAGAAACCTCTGAAACATAAATTTTTCATTTTCGATTTTCGGCCCATTACTATAAATTACCCTACGGGAAGTTAAAAAAATAGTTATATTAATTTTAAATAGAGTTATTTCGACTTTATATTCATTATTGTTATATAGATATTGATAAATCATTTATAATACTTCACAAAACAAAAAAACTAACTTGCATAACTAAAAAAAATCACTTTTTATATTATAATTGCGCAAGTATAGTTTTTTTGTCTTAGTAGGCAATATCCAAATTTTGGTAATAATAGAATTAGCTATTAAGTTAAAAAACGGTTCTATTAATTTTAAATAGAGTTATTTCGACTTTATATTGATTATTGTTATATAGATATTGATAAATCATTTATAATACTTAACAAAACAAATTAAAACTAACTTGCATAACTAAAAAAATATCATTCATTATATTATAATTGCGCAATCAAGTTTAGTTCATCTTTCTATAATGAGCATACTCTATATATTCTCTGTCGTTCCTCCTAACGGCCCTGTCTTTGAGGTGTATATTTCATCAGATGTTAAGGGCGCTGTAAGCTCTTCTCGCCCGGACCGGCGGCGAGAGCGGACAGACAGTCACAAAACACGAGTGGCCGGCCGGCTCACCGGCTCACCGGCTCTAGTAAGCGTAGAATTCAAAACGCCAAACCTGGGACAAGTGAGCCGCCGCTTGTGACTTATTGGTTATTTGACCGTGCCAGAATGCTGCAAATCAAATGTACGTGTGTAAGTGTACTACTGGCCACGACTATCTACTGACGCCTCTCTAGGTGGGTTCAGATCGCCTAAAGCTAAAGCTACGTTCAATTTGTGGGATTCGTAACTTGTAACTTGATTATATAGAAATATGACGTGTTTTTTTGTTTTTAAAAACAATCTGCCTTTATAAAAAATAAGAATTCAGTAATTTTTATTATTATAAACATACGTTCTGAAAAGTTACCCAGTAGTAACCCAGAATGGAGCTAAGGAACAAAATAATAAAGATAAAAGTCCCACTTACTACTAATCTTATATTATCAGAAAAACAAATTTAGAATGCCCTGAACACATTCATTAAAAATAATAACATAAGTATTTAAAATATTATATAAAGTCAATGTATAATTGGAAATTAACAATGTACCAGATTACAAGGTCAATAAACAATAATAAATATAAAAAACTAAACCATTTTCAACTTTGATACATAAATTTAAGTTGTGTGAGGTCATATGATGATGTAAATGGATGTGAATTTGTACAAATTTAAAAAACGGCTGTGAATAAATATTTTATCTATTTTCGATGATAGATAAATATGTGATTTGTATATTATTTCAATTTATAGTCCAGACTCTAAATAGTATATTTTAATTTCAAATAATATTAAATCTATCCTCGTATTCATTTTTTAGTTGATTAAACTTAATACATGATATAAAACTTAATCAACTCCCACAAAATTAATCAAAATATATGCATTCCAGAAAACATTTATACAGAGTGTACAAAGTGTGTACAGGATGTCCTAGAACTCAACATTAAGTCAAAACGGGGCTATGATGTTGATTGTAACTATCATGAAAAATTTATAATAATATATTATTCCATGTAGTTTAAAAATTATGAGCTTTTAAATTCAACCTAAAGCTGTGATCATTTCTGGTTATTGTGGTTCATTTTTATTAATTTGTTAAATTTAAACGTTGGATCTGTAAGCTTATTGACACAATTACCTAGAGTTTTATTAAGATTGAGGCCAGTTGTTAACTAATAATTCAAAATTTTCCAAATTGCTCTACTTTGAGAAGTCTTTTTTTTTTCAAAAAATGTACTGAATGCCTTGGCAACGTTTATCAAAAGTTTACGCATTTTCTGGGTCATGTATTCAGAAATTTGTAACGTAATATTAAAAGTATATTAAATAATTAATTCAGTAATTTATTTTCCAGGTTAATATTGAATAAAGTCAATAATAATTTTATTGATATAATACTAGGGAAATTTATAATACAATCTGATAGATTTAGAATTTAGAACATTATATCAACTATTTTTGACTCAATCCATTATTTTTATTAATCTAATAATGATGAGGCAAAGCAAGGCAAGACATTTAGAATATTTTACATTTTGATTGAGATTTTAGAGTATACGGAGTTGTTATAGGGTGTTCTGCTACTAGTAAAGGTTGTAGAGCATCGAAAACGTTATTCATATTCATCGAATGGTTTAAAAGTTACAATATATATACTGTAACGAGTCGTAGTTGATGTCTTCTTCATGTGTTGGGATTATCTTTCAATTTTTAGTATACCTAGTTGCTGTAGGGTTTTATACTATTAGACAGTATTGTATATTATTTAATTTTGTAGAGATTTTCCAAATACTATATATACTTACCACAATTAATGCTAAAATACGCTGGATATGCATAAACTAATTGTTATTTCAAAAATGTCAGAAAGTTTATTCATTAGTATATTCATTAGTTCATTATAGTCAGTAAGCCAACTCAATATTTGAAAACTATTTTAGTAATAAATTTCGATTATTATCTTACGCCGCTTTTTTTTCAAAAGAATAATTTTCAATTTAAAGTGGGCTCGCCTGTAGGTAAGCGGTTAAGAGCTACGGGACTTGAATCAGAGGTCCGGGTTCGATACCCACTTCGAGCAGCCTGTTGTCAGGCAGCAGTGACAACGATTTTCGCTTGGAAATATAGATAGCAATATGTTTCCAAGTGAAAATAGCCCTTGTCCGGCATTGCTGCACCGATAAAAAGTCAGCCCTATTAAATTAATTCTAATAACAAAATCATCAAATATGGATGGATTAACCATTGGGTGACCATCTAAAAAATACGAAGTAAGGAGAAGTTTCAGTCGAACAGCTCATAGGACGTAAGGTTCTGATTGCTGTTAAAAAATATACAAATATATATATATATATATATATATATATATATAAAGTGTATCGTAAAAAAGACCATTATTACCAGATTGAGGTCGGATGGAACAGCAAGTTCGATCCAGGTAGGTTGCTGCAATGTAGCCTGATTTAAAATCGTAAAAACAAAGTCTCTTGGAGTAAGCAGTTAATCATATTGAGTATTGAGAATCAAAAAGAAATCTTTTATCTTGATTTGTAAAAAAAAACATAGTTTTGTTTATCCTCCTCAAGTATAATTGCACTGTCAATCTGGTCGATCTAGTTTAGTGTCATAGCTTTTAGGAACTTGCCAAAAGGCATTTATCATATATTTTGATTCCAAAACGAGTGTCGATGCAGACGCTGCCGAAATAGCGAATCCGGCATGCATCGTACGGACGCTACACACGTGAAGAAGCTCTACATGTGAAGAACATGTCATTTGATATTAAAATGTGTTGCCCAGAGGTCCGTATATATTACAGGACGTGGATTTTCAATTACGTGCAAAACCGGCCGTCTGCGTTATTCTTTTTGCTCCAAAGCCACATATTCGGAGGGGCAGCTTATGAGATATTTTTGACAGGCTGGACTAGCGACGTTTTCAATTTAAATTATATTGGTTGTTCGATTTGGGCACTTGAGCAAACTTTTAATATTACTTTATTATTATTTTTTCACTTGCATTAACTTCTTTTTTTTATTTATGTAGGTACTATCATAACAATTCATTCGTAATCGTTGATGTAAAGAAAAAATGAATGTGTATGTATGTGTGGATACAATTTTTTGTCGACGTTTTCTCAACCAATTTGAATGACTCAAAGGAAAAGACGACGTTGTGATTGGATATTGACAAAGACAGGCCCAGCCGTTTCAGAGATAAGGAGCTAAAAGTATAAAAATATCACGATGCCATGCACCACCAGTTTTATAATTTGGTTTCTCAAATTTATTCAAGTATATGTTTATTGTTTTTTAAATGTATGTTTGGACTATTTAAAATGTCAGTTAACTCTTGAAGGCCAGGATTTGAATGAAGAGGACGATTACAATTCCTATGCAAAATCTCTTTGATAAAGAAGTAAATCTTGTGCAGAATCACTATGTGGAAATTTGTGCTCCATTGACAAATCATGCTCTAATTTGGTTAGATTAGAACGCACTATTGATCAATAGTTCTAAATAAAAATTAATATGACTACACAATTGATATTACCTGTGATATTTTATCAAGAATACTTTTAGTAATAAAAGCAGAAATTAAAAACTTATTACCATATGATCAAACATATTACTATGTTATAAAATATATCAAGAATAGGTAATATAAATGAATATGTTAGAAATCAGAATGTTCTTTCTGAATATGTTTCACTTCATCAAAGAATGTTCCACAAAATCATCAGTGAGCAATATAATTAGCAATATGGTGAATTTTCTCTTCATGTCATACATCGTTTTTGAATACGTACGTACAAAATTCTCAAACCGTATTACATAATTATAATTTGTTCCCAGGAACAACTTACTGAATTGCTTGCTTACCCTGAATATATAAATGATGATGGAGATGGTAATTTATAAGTCGTGTTTTCATCATAAACGTAATTGAAGTCAGTGTGGTACTCATTTTATTTTGTATATAATGTAACATATAATATAACAAATAGATATTCTTAGTATTTGAAATTATATGAAATATAGTAATTTATAGCATTGTGCTTAACAGCAAATTGCTAATATTTTTTCTCTAATAAAAGTTTGTATGAGATAAGTAAAATTTAAAATCTCTATCTCTATTAAAATAGTGCAGAACTTTATAGATGATCAAATATGGTCGTATGAAATCATATCGTTTAAGTAATAGAAAAATGACTTCATTTTCTAAAAGCCACATTAGACAAATTTCAAAGCTTGTTTTCTTCATACAATTTTCACATAATTGTGGAATAACGTAACAAAATTTTATGGAAAATGTTATTATTTTTTACTGCAAAAGATCGTACAAAAACATTTAACTTTCAACAGCTGTAGAATCTTAACTTCTTACATTATTATCTTGGAATCTACTGACGCCTTTGACTAATTACTTACATCATGTTGTCAGGTTATGGTTCAGGTTGGGTTTATTATGCCAGAATCATTATATCCAATGAGCTTATAATGTTATGATGGCAAAATAAAAATGCATTATTGCACACTTACAAATAGACAATATATTTCATAAATATGTTGTGCATAGAAATGGATATTTTATTAACCCTGATAAGTGCCTGAAATAATATCTATTATTATTGATTACGGTTTGCTTATGAATAAATATATAAATAAATAGATTCATTTTTAGAGGTATATTAATTATGACAAAATGTTTTATCTAAATATTTCACTCGTCACACGATTAATTTATTAAATAGACTTTATAAGTAAATCATTACTAATAAAAATAAGATTTTATATACTGTATTATTACTGAAAAATTACGTATTCCAATTTCCATCATCTATTTCGTCTTTAACTTGTTAAACGAAACGTTTTAATTTTTGATACGAAGTTTTTATCAGAGACCGTGCAAAGCGCAAACTCGAGCGCTTTTTATTGAAAACATCAAGGGAATTACTATAATAAAGAGTAAAGCAAACACCTTTGCCTACTACTAAAAATTTGGCGTATTTGGTACTACATTTTTTCATTCATTTATTATTATACAGCAATCAGAACAGTAATTACATTCTATGAGCTGCTATGCAAATGTATATAAACTAAAAAGAATAAACTAAAAAAGAATAACTAAAGATAATAACATAAAAATAGTAATTAATAATAAAAATAATAATAGATAATAATAATAAATAATAAAATAATATAATAATACTACAAAAAAATACATTAAATTAACTAACATATTTTGATGATTTACTATAAAAAATATAGAAATTGTTCCATTGAACAATTTGCTAAATTAGGATATTATCCATTGGTGATTTTTGGTACTACATAATGATAATTTTAAATAAACATTATTAATTTATTTATTTATTCATTTATTTATTATACGCTAATCAGCTATATACAGTTAATTATATTGTAATGTAACCAGGGCCGGATTTAGAAATTTGGCGCCCCGGGGCACTGGCAAAAATGCCGCCCCATCCCTGAAATTTTACGAATTTTCCAATTTTTTTTAAAGCAATCGCGCTGCTTTAGCTGCGGATAACAAAATATAGAAGCGCGTAAGCGCCGCGTCTAACGGATAAACAATGATACAGAACTTATATAAATGTAAACAAAATTTATACTTATTATAATATCTTTAAAATATCTGATAATTTAATGTGCATATGTCTTATGATCACTTTTGTCCGCCAAATGTTTCTTTTTCAAATTTTTTTATTGGATCTTCAAAACCGCTAAACCTGCCCCCCACAAATTTAAGCAGTTATTTATTCTGTAAATTTTTTTGAATGTTATTGGACGCTTTTTTTTCAAAAACTGAATTATCATTTTTGGCATTTTGGCCCGTATCTTCAAAATTGTTGGACCTGCCTCGATCAATAACTAATCAGCATGTCTCCTTATCAATAAGAATTGAATCATAAATCGGTTGATCCGTGTTCTCGAAATTGACTTGACTAATTAAAAAATATTAGATTTGTATTGATGGGGAGACGTGCTGATTAGCTTTTGGTACAGGCAATTACGAAAAATGGTAATTTAGTTTCGATATTTCTTCTCTGAAACAGCTACGCAGCGCGATTGCTTTGCAAAAAGTTCATAGTTTTCGAAAAATTTCAAAATACAAAAAATGTGTTTTAGAAGTCTTTTTTCATGCTTCAATAAAATTTAAAGCTCTTTATAAAATGTAATTTTTAGTACGGGATGTTTCAGTAATTTGTCTTAAGGCACAATGCCATGAGTCACTAGTTTAAATTTTTTTTTCGACGCTATAAGCTTGGAAGTACACAAATACGTCATTTTAAGAGGGCTCGAGAACTGAAGAACATCTTTATATTAGCCAAATTGCCAAATTTGATAACTTATTAACCAATTTGATAATTTACGTTCGGAGAGGGAGATAAGGCAAAATAATAAATTTTAGTTATTGTTTATTTCAACCTAAATTTTGCATTGAAATCGTATTATGTTTTGCTAATTATATTTCTTGAAATAAAAAATGTTGTTAAAAAAAGTTGATTATATTGTATAGAATTTTTTTTTCACTATCCAAATTTTGCCGCCCCTCAAAATTTGCCGCCCTGGGCAGTAGCCCCGACTGCCCCTACTGTAAATCCAGCACTGAATGTAACATAATAATGTTAAACTTATTATCCTTATTAAACTTATTTTCTCTTCCAGAGGCCGTCAGGGATACCGCCAGCATGGTCTCGTCGGCTGGTGGCGGTGTGCAGTCGTCGGCGGTGAGCGTGGCGGCCAACAGCATACCCAGCGGCGCCTCCGGTGGCGGTCACCACGCGGCAGCCGGTCCGCGCGAGTGCTCGGGCTGCGGTAAACGCATTACAGAGAGGTTCCTGCTGAGGGCACTCGATCTCTTCTGGCACGAAGACTGCCTTAAATGTGGCTGCTGTGATTGTCGTCTAGGAGAGGTTGGATCCACGCTTTACACTAAAGCGAATTTGATACTTTGTAAACGCGATTATCTTAGGTGAGATATTAATGAAATAATATTTTTTCTTTTGAGCTCCTTTATTTAGTTTATTGTTAGGGAAATATATATTATAGGGCGTATATTATTTATTATTATTATGATTATTATTATTATGATTATTATTATTATATTTTAATATATTATGTTAGTTAGTATTAATATATTGTGCCAGGCGTTTGGTTTAATCGGTATGGCATGATTTTATAAAGCATTAGGATGTGTATTGTTTTGTTTTGTGGATTACCAATAAGTTTGGTAGGTTTTCAAGGAACTCTTGTCATGAAAATACTAACATTCATGTTACAACACATAGCAAAGAATATATACAACGCAGTTTGAATAGAAAATACCATGAAAAAAGACAAAATACGGGTTTACATATATCAAAAAGCGTATATTTCATACAAAATGTATAGGTGGTCTAGACAGACCTTTCCGACCGTTCGAAGTATAAAAAAGTTAATATCTTTATAATTATCCTTCTGTACATTTTTTCATCCTGATTTTTTCATTGATCGACAGCTAATGAAATTTTAGGAAGAGTCGAGAAATTTCAAGTCGATAGGATTACTAGAAGTTTTTTTTTTTAATTGAAGTCGGAAAAAGTCTGGCCAGACCACGCCGACCGACGGAGGGTTAAATGTACATTGTTGGGTTATATTATGTTCATAATTAGCCAATAGTCGGCTAACATCATTATACCTGAATATAGTTTTCAAGTATACATTTCAGTAGAAGTTTCTTATTCCCGCTTCTAAATTATATATGCCATTATAATTTCGATATTCGCGGATTTTAATGTATATCGAACCTAAAATCCGTTGTAAATGCCATCATTCGCCGCTATCAGTGTTTTTGAAAATGTAAACCGATAGAATGAAAACATCCTTATTCATTGGTTATTACTCAATAAATGAAATATATTTTTAGTAAAATTTGTCTCAAATCGACATGAAATCCACACCTCCAGTCCATTGAAGAAGTGCAATTCTTGTCAATTACTTAAACAAGCAATAGAAACGTGACATTTAGTTTGAAAAATTTTAATAGAGAATTAATTAAAAAAATTTTGTGCCTTTTCTATATGAACATTGATTCGTATACGGAAAGTCTTATTTTTAAGAAGCAATTTGCCGATGTGACTCTTAATATCAGTTTAAATTAAGGTTTAATAATTTTTAATTAATCTTAAATATACCATATCCCATATTAAAATTAGTTTGTAATAAATTTAGAAACACATTTAACAATGATATAAAACTTTTATAAATTGATTCTTATTTTAAGAATATATTATTGTTATTATTTATAAATGCTACTATTTTGTAAAATTCCCTTAAAATTAAAAATAACATATTCCACGATTTTGCCCATTGGCTGTCTCTGTATTAATGTTAGATTTGATACTTAACTTATTACTAATTTAGGGTATTTATATAACCTCCGGTATGGGTGAAAATAAGGCTAAAACCGACTAAACCTTAGCTCTTCCAAAAGTGTAAACAATAAAAAATATCAAATAAAAAAATAAACTAAGTTTATAAAAGCGATTTTACAAAAAATAAATTAAATTAATAGTTATTTCAACTCTGCTCATAAATATGTTTTCGAAATACCAGATCAA